TGTACATTCGTATTCGGAAGAAAACGCTATTTGAAATAGCGCTTTCACTGTGCTTTCTTAGGAAAACGTTTAAAATATATTAAAATGTGACCAAAATAAAAAATAAATGCTTTGTAGCACAAATGGTAGTGTGCTTGTTTTGCCACCACAGTGGCGTGGGTTCAATTCACGGGAATTGCTACCTTTCAATTAAGTTCAACTCTTCTCTCTTTTTTTTTTCTTTTTTTTTTCCACTCACTCTATACTTTATATATTTATTTATGTAATTTTTTTATCAAAAAAAAGTAAAATGTTTGTTTGGTTAACTAAATTTTTTTTCTATAAATACAATTTTTTTCAAAATGTCAACATGATTATTTAAAAAGTATTCAGTGTATTTGGTTTGAATTTTTTGGATTTAGTTATTTGAAAACTGAGTTTTTTTATTTTCGTATTTTTTGTTTTTAGTGAATATTTTAAAATTTAAACATTTTTTTTTACTTTTTTAGATGCACGCTTAGTTAGATGTATCTAAAAAGTAAAAAATTGTGAAAAAATATTTTAAAAAATTAAAAATATATAAAAAACAAAAAATGTAACTGAAATAATTTGTATTTTTAGTATCTTTTCAGACAAAATTAATAGCACAGTGAAGCGTACTCAAAAATATTTTTTTCAACAAAATGTAGCTTTTAAAATGTACCAAAATTTTTTTAAAAGGTACGTTATTTTAGTACATTTTGACTAAAAAATTAATTTTTTCAGTACTATTTTTGTTATTTTTTTACTCACTCATAGCTTTATATATTTTTAATGAAAATAAACAATGTACGTTTATAAATGTACTAAAATATTTTAAAAGCGTACATTTTTGCTGAAAAAATATTTTTGGAATACACTTTCACTGTCAAATATTTTTTTGAGTACATTTTGCTATGTTAAGGGGATGAAAATTTGCTGAAAAGATACTAAAAATACAAAATTATTTTTTCAGTACATTTTTTGTTATTAATTTTGTTTATTAATTTTTTAAAATATCTTTTCACAAATATTTTACAAAAGTAAAAAAAAAAATATTTAAAATTTTAAAAATATTCACTAAAAACAAAAAAAATACGAAAATAAAAAAACTCAGTTTTCAAATAACTAAATCCCAAAAAATTCAAACCAAATACACTGAATACTTTTTAAATAATCATGTTGACATTTTGAAAAAAATTGTATTTTATAGAAAAAAAATTTAGTTAACCAAACAAACATTTTACTTTTTTTTGATAAAAAAATTACATAATAAATATATAAAGTGTAGAGTGAGTGGAAAAAAAAAAAAAAAAAAAAAAAGTTGAACTTAATTGAAAGGTAGCAATTCCCGCGGATTGAACCCACGCCACTGTGGTGCAAAATAAGCACACTACCATTTATGCTACAAAGCATTTGTATTTTATTTTGGTCACATTTTAATATATTTTAAACGTTTTCCTAAGAAAGCACAGTGAAAGCACTATTTCAAATAGCGTTTTCTTTCGAATACGAATGCATAGTGAAAGCGCTATTTCGAATAGCGTTTTCTTCAAAAAAAAAAATTATGTTAAAAGTGTGATTTTCAACATCGCTTTATTAATTAAAAGCGCGGTTTTTAATAGCACTTTCACTATTCATCACATTTTGGGCTCCAAACAGTGAAAACGCGATTTGTAATAGCGCTTTAACTTAGTTTGGGAATTCCGTCCAAACTAGACCTAGTTTGGAAAATAGGATGCAAAAGAGGCTTAGTTTGGGAAAAGCCCTATTTGGTCAATCTCTTAAAATTCCCATCAATTAATCATGACGAGGGAAGGTTGAAGTCACTACTTGAGATGTGGAACTCCACTTACTGAGATGTAGGGTTGGAATATAGTAATTATTTCTGTATGCAGAGTAGGTAAATGGATAAGCAAAACATGATTAATTGATGGGATTTTTAAAATAGTGGTATAGGCAAAAGAAAAGTACAAAAATATGTGAGGGGTAAGTGGTTTTGTGATGGAGTGCAAGTGAAAAGTTGTATTTGCACTCATCATGGATGTGGCTGCAATAGCGAGTGACTGTAGAGGTGGTAGTTGAGACGATGGTAATCGTGGTGTGATAATAGTGGTGACGATCGGCAATGCAACAACGGAGGTGGGCTATCAATGGTGGTTGCTGGAGTTAGTGGGGGATAAGATTAGGGTTTGGGTTAGGGGTATAGTTGTTATTAAGGTGGCGGTTCAATGAGAAAATTGAGGGGCTTCATTTTACTGGATGAGAGTTCAAAGAAGTGGAAGGGTAAAGTAAAAAAGTGAGGGCAAATAGTAGCACTCCTTAAAAATAGCGGATGATAACTCAAAAAATAATATTTGTTGAATATTATTTTGAGAGGACATATTATTTTTAAGATAATGACTATAGTTATTCCTTTAATGGGACTTTTTTATGGATAATCTTCTGAAATAAAAAGGACGATTAGAATTATCAAAGTTGATCTTTTGATGAGCCCATAGTAGTTCGACAATTAGGGGTGGGTATTGGCCCGTTGGCCCACCCATTTTGTCTAGTCTAACCCTATTTTTTAGTGTTTGAGAAGATTATTTTAGGCCATAGGGCCGAATTGAGCCAATATTTTTGGCGCAATATATTAATGGGCTGGACTTAGGATTTATACTTTCAACTCGGCCCGACCTGCTATTAAATTAGTTATAAAATATTAAAATATTTTTTTGTTAGATTTGAACTTTTTCTTTGTTAATTTTATTGAAACTCACATTTTGTGGTGATGTTTGATTGAATTTATTTAAGAAATCTTTCAATTTATACACAAAATCGTTCAATTTATAATGTTGTCAGTATATTTATTTAAGAAATATAATGTGTGATTGAATTTAATTATGAAATGTTTAAAAAAAAAATTAACATATAGATCAATGGGTGGACTTGGGATTTATAATTATTTTTTGGGACGGGCTTGGACAAATGTAAAGGCTTGATGTTAGAACAGGACGAGGCTTTGATAGATACAAAATCCCATATTATGTAGTATTGATTTGACCCGAACCTGACTTGGCCCAAAGAATGCCTAGACTTACCCACAACATTGTTGAATTGAGTTGCTAAACTAGGCTATGTTTGGCATGAGTTTTTTGACTATTTTAGCCATAAAAAGATAAAATGGGCTGACAAGTCAATAAAAAAAAATTATCACATCCAAATAATCATTTCATTTTTCTCTCACAAAGTCAAAAAAGTCAAAAAGTCCATCCCAAATGAGACTTTTTAGCCCTAGGTTAAAATAGTTAAAAAGTCAAAAAGCAAGCTTACATCCCAAACAAAGGCTGAAACAACAAGTATGAGTGGGTAGGAATGGCAACGAGCCGGGGCAGGGGGCTGGGGATCGCACTCCCCGTCCTTGATCCTCGATGGTGGAAATTCTTTCGTCCCCAATCCCGCTCTCCGACGGGGAACCTATCACCACCCTCGCCCTCTAACGGTATCAGGTTTTCTCGACCTCCAAAATTTCCTGACCAAAAAAAAAAATCAGCTCCAAAAAATACAATAATTCATCAACAACAACAACATCATCACCAAATCATATATATTCATCATCAACAACAACACATCCATATATATTCAACAGATCTAACAGATCTAAGCTCAAATGTAAAAAATAAAAAATCTAACACATTAAATAGATCATCATTTTCTTCATTTGCACCAACAATAGATCTAAGCTCAAATCAACAAACATCTTCATCATTTTCATCAACAATAGATCTTCATTAACAAAATCTTCATCTTCATCATTTTCCAGATCTAAAGAACAAAAACAAAAAACAAAGAGAGAGAGAGAGAGAGAGAGAGTGAGAGAGAGAGGGAGAAAGGAGATACCATGCGAGAGAGAGATGATGAGGTACCATGAGAAGGAGAAGAGGAGCCGCTGCCAGTGTGTGTGTGTGTGTGAGAGAGAGAGAGAGAGAGAGAGGAGGAGGAGGAGGAGGAGCTGCCGCCGTGACGCTGTAAGGGAAAAGTGACACCGGTGAGAAAGAGAGGAGGAGCCATCGCCACCGCCGACGCCCTAGATCGACTCTTTGAAAGAAGCAGCGGTGAGAAAGAAAGGAGAGAGATACCCTTTGAAAATTAGTGGTGAGGGAGGAACGAAGGTGAGGGAGCAGAGAGAGCAGCAACCGTCGTGTGTATGTGCAAGAGATGGAGGCGATATGTTGTGTTCGTGTGTGTCAACCAAATCCTAAACACACCCACACACACACACACACACACACACACACATATATATATAAACAGGGGCATAATAATAATCTTACATTGGGGCTAAACGGGACAGGGTTAGGTCCGGGGCGGGGAAATGTATCACCCTCCTCGGCTCGAATATCATCGAAGATTCATTTTTGAATACCATTCCTGGCTTGTCAGGAGTATTTTTCGAGAAAAAATTGCTCAATTCGGGTTCGAGTCCCTGTTTGACCGAGTTCAAATTGCCATCTCTATGAGTATTTGGAGTTTGCTTAGTACTTTTTTTTTTTACTTATTTTTTCCTTCTAGTATTTTTTTAAAAAAATATACAAAATTTTAGATTTTTAGATTTAATTTGATGAGACGAAAGACGAATTAATTTTTTTTTAAAAAAAAAATTCAAAAAAATTCAAAAAAGGCAAATAAATAAAAAAAATAGTGACTTTTTTTTGTGCTTATTTCAGATTTTCCATTTTTTTTTTCTTAATTTTTTTTCCCCTTTTCAGATTCACATTAAAAATAAATAATATTCATAAAAATAGGTTAAATAATATTCATAAAAATAGGTTCCTCAAATATGGAAAATGATGATAAAAATTCATAAAAATAGGTTCCCCAAATATGGAAAACGATGAATAATGGCATTATCAATCTCTTAGCCTATTTTCCATAATGAATAATGGCATTATCAATCTCTTGGCCTATAAGAAAATGAGGTATCTCCTCCTAAGTTGAATGAAATAGATTACAAACCTATAAGAAAATGAGGTATCTCCTCCTAAGTTGAATGAAATAGATTACAAACATGAAAGTCATGGAGATGGTCAAACGTAAAACGAAAAAAGGAGGCAAGTGGTGGAGGACTAAAATTGTGAAAATAAAAAGGAAAAAAAAAGCAGAACCAGCCATGTGGGTGGAAATAATCTGTGGTCTAGTAATCTACAGATTGTTCCGGCGAGTCTTCTACGACGACCACCACCACGATGTCCTCACCTCCGATTCCATTGCTCTTTTCTCCATCGCCACTAGGTATCCCCTTAATTTTTTTTTATTTTTTTTCTGTTTGGTTGCTGAGAAAACGCCAGAAAGCAGAAGAAAATGTAATCTATAAACTGAAGCTGAATTTGTTCATTTTTCTATTGTAGACTCGAAAAGCTTTATGGTGGAAAAGTTCATGTTGGGCTGCGAATTCCAGACGCCGATTCTCGTTCCCGACAGAACATTGATATGGTCCTTGTTACCAAAGGGTAGGTCTATTCGCTAAACTCTGTATCTTTAAATCTGTTTGGTTCTGTAGAAATTGTTGGAGAAAGAGATAGAGCGAACACACACACACACAGAGCAGTGTAATTCTTGAGCTTAAGACTATTTTGCCTCACCTTGTGTCGATCTTTTCATTTCGAGTGCATAAATTGTTAAGGTTAATATGACTTTTGCAATATGACTTTTTCAACTTTTCTCTCGATCCTAACTGGGTGCATGCTTGCATTTCTTTTTAACAGGGAGGCGGTGGTGATTTGTGTTCAGAATTGTTCAGGGATTGTATCGATTAATGCTGATGGAAGTTGGGTTTCCACTGGTGGAAATAGCCACAAAACTGAGCAGTATCCAGATCCCGTAAGTCCATGTTCTTATGCAGTGATTTAATTTGGGCATTCTTTTAGCATGTTTTTCACTGGAGCAGTGTGTTTCATGAATGCTTTTGAATGTGATTTTAATTATTGAAATGAGTTAATCAAGTGATTGTGGGATAGAAATTATATGCTAAAAGTTGAAACTATTCCTATAAAATTATTGTGTTGGGTCTTCTAGAGACCTTGAGGCGGTCAACAGTAAACATAGTTGTCCTTGGACTTTGGGGGAAGTACCCACACAACATCTTTGTAATTTAGAAACTAGGGAACTAGCCTATCTTCTTTGCTTCAGTAACATGTTACAAGTTTTTATTTTTTGGAAGGTAAAGCGAGTTTATACCAAAAAATATAGATATTACAATGACGCTCAACAGACAATCTTCATGCTGTGTTTGGTTTAAGGATTTGGGGAGGAATTTGGAAAAAGAAAGAGAAAATGATGGTGAAATGTGAATAAAATATACCTACAATTAACCTAGTTTTACACATTTTTTTCCTTTCCTTTTCTAAATCACTTCCCAAATCCTTGAACCAAACATAGCCTTAGGGTCTACATAACTTTAGAGAAGCGACACCCTAGCCAAAGACTTGGATTAAACATAACACCTAGCCTAATAAAAGTAATCTCTCACAATACAAGAGGCTAGGGAAACTAACACATTCTTAGACAAATAGACTAAGAAATACAGCAAACTCAGAAGGTGCACATCCACAGTGCATCTGCCAAAAAGCATCCACTACATCAGCTTGCAAGTGTTTGCATTCTACAGAGCACAATATAGAAAGAGTTGACTATTGGGATGCTTTAAAGGTCGCATAGGCTAGTCTGTGATACATTGGGAGCTGTTGTGCAGAGCTTGTGGATATCATGAAGGACTTATGTGAGAAGAGCCATGAGGTTGTCAGGTTGAAAACTTTGAAGTCATCATCTTGGAAATTGGAATTATATTATACGTCATTGAGGATATCAAGAAGTGAGCACGGTTCCAGACCTTTAGGGTTAAGAACAAAAAGACCAGTTATATGAGCATTAGAAAAATGAGACAAATAATGCAAATGTTGATTAAAAAACAAAAAGATAATCATTTTGAAAAGATTTTGACTTCTACCAGAATTTGTCCAATAAATTGATTACTGATTTTCAACCTACTGCATGACTAATGTGGTGGAGTAATCCCTGGTTGGGATACAAAATTTCAAGGACATTTTTTCCGAGTTGGGACTGCCTTTCCATATATATTCTGGATGATTGAATGCCAAGGGATTTGGGTAATATGCCTCTGCAGCCATTTTGTAGCAAAAAACATTTCTAGAATCAGATTATTACTATCTAGGTTTCTCTTAGCTGTGTTACAAGACTTTTAGTCCAAAAATTTAACAAATCAGTAAGATGATGTCTTTTGTCTGTTCTCGAAGCTTTTTAACCTTATAACATGTGTGGGAATTTCTGTATCTCAGGTGGCAGAAGCTAAACGACAAGTTTCTATTCTTGAATCCTACCTTGAACAAAGGGGAGCCACTCTTCCAAAAGGGTATTTGTCTTGCAGGGTTATATGTCCCAACCCAAATTTCCGGTATGCATTGAACTCTTCCCTTGGTTGTGTTTATCCTAAATACAATGTTTATTTTTCTCATTAAAGGCTCTGCTTTCTTTTAATTTTCTTGATGACTCGATGGATTATACTTGCTCATCCTGAATTTGTGTTCCGTTGGCTGTGTTTATCCTACTCAAATTAAGGGGCTCTCATTTCCTTCAATTTTCTTGATGACGATGGATTTATACTTGCTCATTTCAAATTCGTGTCTCTGCTTTATTGCTGCATTATTTTATGAAGAAATAATGAGTTCATTGCCTTAAAATTTACATCATTACCACTCAAATCTGATTACCTATTGGTCAAAGGTCACGCAGTTCTCATTTTTTTTTTTTGAGTTTTGCTGGGAGAACATGAAAATTTGGCTTGTGGGAGTAAGGTCATTTTTATATTTAGTTGATTAGGAAGGCTGTGCTTCTTTCCCACTGACAGTTCCAACATAAATGCTATGGACAAAAGGAAAAAATATTCCTGAGACAGCATTGGAAATGTTTAAGCATGTCATACAAGCACAGGAATGGATTTTGAAACCCTTGAACCAAACAGGGGTGTCAGCACCCAAATTGGCAAAGAAAGGTGCAAATGTGGAGTAGCATTAGTATTTCGACTAGCTGATAACTGCACTATCCAATTGTAGTTGATACAGAAATAATTGTTTCTACGCCTACATACCACACACCTACATAAATAAGCTTATGCGTGTCTTCCACACCAGTTTAAAAAGACTCATTGGATGATAACATGCGAGAAAATCATAGAAATGACAAAAAGTGTTTCTGGATATAACAATTCTCTGTACAGTGTGCACACTCAACCATGTGTGTAATTGAAACTATTACAGTGCATTTTATTAACATGAAAACTGCAGTTTGTTACAATTCAAATTTATGAATCTTTCTAGAGAAGGCTCTACACGCAGTTATAAATATTTCATTGCAACTATTGAAGTTTTATTATATTTTACATTGTAATTGTTTCTACTACCGTTAATACATCAACTTCAAATACCATTGATCAAAAAAATATTTCAATTACAGATACTGCTTTTAATACATGGATCCACTATAAGTGACAGTATGCTTTGACTATATATGAATGGTAAAAGAAACACGCAAGATAAGGGTAATTGGGTTTGAGTCACGGATACAACGTCTCCAGAAATGGCAGTAAGGCTGCTTACATCTCACCCTTTTTATGCAAGCAGGCATGCACACAAAAAATGGCATGTGAAAAAGAGTGAAATATCTAAAAAGGTAAAGGCACCATTAATGCAGTGTTTACCTAAGTTTTAAAAAGCTTTATTGAGGTTCGCCTCGATGCTTGCCTCGAGGTAAAGCTAAAGCAAAACGCCTCAAGGCTTTGATTTGTAGGCCTTTCTCGTCAAGGGCACGCATAGTGTAAGCCATGCGCCTTAGATGCGTTTTGTACGCCTTCTACGCATAAACATATAAAGAGTAAGCATATGAAAAGTTTGACTTAGGTTAGGCTCTTATTAAATTTAGTCTAGTAGATGGTTTATGCATAAAGAATAAAAAGGAAACCCTTTTGCAACTATATTCTATAGGAAAGATTTATAAATAACTAATCAAGAAAAAACACAAAATTAATGCTTAGTGAGAAGCTCAATCACAAAAGCTAACATTACCAATTTCACTTTGAATAAAGCAAAGCTTCCTTTTTTGCAGTGAGCCTTGAGCAAAAAAGTAATTACACCTTTATATTTAATTTTGATGTATTTATTTATTGTTTAAAATATTTAAATTATTTACTAAATATAAAAATTTAGAATTTGAAATGCTTACGCTTCAATGCCTTAAAGTTTACGCCTCGCCTTATGAGGGGTAAAGCGTCTCACATTACACATTCGCCTTTAAAACCCTTGGTGTTTACACATGGTTGTTATAGATTGCTTCATTGTTGCAATTGAAAAGTCTAGTCCACACTTCTCCTTAAAACGTAGGTATTAAGGAGAGGGAAATTGAGCCTTATAACCAGCACAGATGAGGTAACTCCAGGCGATGTAGGACACATTCCAACACACTGTCCTGGACTACAACATACAGTAGTCGGACAAACGGCACACCAATCATAGGCCCAACCAAGCTCTAATACCAAATTGAAAAGCCTAACCCACACTTCTTCTTAAAACCTAGGTATTAAGGAGAGGGAAATTGAAGTCTTATAACCAGAGCAGATGGGGTAATTCTAGGCGATGTGGGACACATTCCAACAGTTGCAACATTACCTCATGGACTCTAACTCACATTTCAAAACTGTGAACCGTGGAATGAATAAAAAATTGATAAAATATTACTCTATGCAACAACCCTACATCATATACTGGGACTCTTGTTTAGCAATAGGCAGAAATTGCCAGATGACATCTTCAATTTTGGTTTGCCTTTTTACTTAATAATTCTTTTTTTTTTTTTTTCATTTCCGCAGTGCCATTCATTCAGACTATTTTCCATCTGAGGTTGTGACCTATGAACAGTGGGAACAATTGAAACCAGAGCCTAAGAGCATGTTTTCTGGTTGGATTAAGGATGCATTTCGTGGTGGAAAGAAAGAAATGCAGGAACCAACGCATAAGAAACTTAATTTTATCCTCACCACTGCTCCAACATGGGATAGGTTTGTTGCAATCTGTGTTGAATTTTTTGTTGCTTATACTGTTCCATTGGCGTAAAATGTTTTATATTTGGTGGAGGATGTCGATAGTAATCCCAAGATGTCAAGTGTTGTGCAGCAAGAAAGTGAAACTTGCCATTAACTAGCGTGCTGCAAGACTTTATAGTTTGATGTGTGCACAATATGGTGCATGTTACAGCATCTGCAATCCTTCATGAAATCCTTCATCAAATTTAAATTTGATGAAAATTTTGGTGAAAATGAGATTCAATCCATTCATCAAACTTAAATCAAGTTTTCACCAAAAAGTTCATCAAATGAGGAATGAATCAATTTTTTCATCAAATTCCAGCAACTCTTTTTTCATCTAAATTTGATGAAATTGTTAAAGGATGAAGGAATGGAGATCAATTTTTTTCACCTGAATTGGTTAAAGGAGGTTTTTGGAGTAGGTTAGGTACTTTTAAAAATATTTGATAAAAAAATTGATTCTCGCCATTTTAGTGAGCTATATCAAATCAAAATTTTATTCTAAATTGTTGAACAAGGACAACTCAAGTGGAGAAGAGAAGCCAAAATCTAATAAGCTTGGGCACTTCTAAGAAAGTGGTATGCCTGTCATGTCGGACACTGACACGACATGACACTCATCGGGTCACTTCTCGACACCTGGCATACACAGTCAAACATGTCATACTATTGTTTAAAACTTTCTAGACTCCACCACTCTTCAAACACTTACATATGCATCTATAGTTATTACAAGTTTGAATAAAATAATTTTTGATAAAAGTGATCAATATAAATTTATATATATATATATATATTTTCCTCCTTTAGACATTATAAATCAGTGTTACATTGCATTTTGTTATTATCTTCGAATTAGATATTCAATACATGTCATATGTCAATTGCTTATCCTTATAGATGACATATTATAAATATAAAAGTATATATTTTGCGTGTGTCCTCCCACATGTTGTGTCTTACATTTTTTGAAAATTTTCATGTTAAGCATTGTTAGATAGCTTGATATACATTGTTGAGCCCATTTTGTAACCGCTTAGGCTTTTTGAAAAATTGGTGGTTTAACATGGTATCAGGGCTCTGGTTGGGAGAGGTCTTGAGTCTCTCCTTTGGCATTTGGTATTCTATCCCCATTTGGTTTCTACCTCTCTGTTTGGTTACTTGCTTCTCCTTCCGTTTGGCTTTCTGCTTGTGTCTCCATGTGCAAGACGAAATTGCACGTGAGGGAGAGTGTTGGATAGCTTGATATGCATTGTTGGGCCCATTTATGAATCACGGACATGCTGGGAACATGCGTCAGACACTTGGGACATGATGAGGATACACTGAACTATTTTTTTAATTTTTTTACTAAAATAGCGTACTTGAAGTTGATAAATTTGATAAAATTAAATATTTGTCATAAAATACATATTAAATATTTAAAATATGACATATAATAAATATATATAATAAAATTATATGTTTTGCACGTGTTCCCAATGTGTCGTGTCTTGCATTTTTTTGAAAATTTATGTGTCCGCGAGTCTGTGTCGTGTCACGTGTCCGTGTTTGTGCTTCTTAGCCTAACAGCTCAGACTTTTGGGAAAATTGGTGATTTAACAAGCGTGTCCTCATCTCTGTTTCGTTGTCCATACTTAGGCCAAAATGACAAGGGAAATAGCAAGAACACTATTCGGAAAGGAAATGAAAACATAGAATGATTGGGGATTTGGAGAGGAGATGAGAGATGATGTGTAAGGTCTTGGGGAATAGATGGATGAAAGTAATTCAACATATGCTATATTGAACATCTCTTGTAATTACAGTCACATTGGTGAATCGTAGATGACCAGCCAAGTGTGCCTTTGGATTTGCCTTGGAATTTTGATAAAACTCATCAGGGCATAAGTGTTCTGTTCGTACTATTATTTATTCATGAGCATTCTACATCTTCCTGTTCCTATGTTAGATATTTGTCACTTGGAAAAAAAATATAAAGGTTTCTCACACCATGCACATGCAGGTTGGAGCTTAAAGGTAATAAATACCTCCTTGGAGAATTTATGGAATTTAAAGGGAAGCAGGACGATACTCAGTTGTTGAGAAATGTCAAGAGATCCAAAGTTAGTCGTTTGATCATCCAAAAGACAAGCATGTTTGGTTTAGGTAACTTCCCACCCTTCTTGTGCTTCCTCATACATGATGACTATTAATGGTAGTCTGTTATGCATGTTCAGTTCATTTATTATCTGTGCATGTTGTGAAGGTGAGATTGTTTTATTGCCCTCCAACAGCATTCTCTCATAATAACCTATTCTACAATAGAAAAATAAGACAAGGGAATCAAGTCCTGTTTTTCATAGGGGTTCAGCTGTTGTCACATCTTTGCTTTATGCAATTCCATTTTTATTCAACTGTCTGTTGTCCATCAAATGCAGCCCATTCTAAGCTCCAAGTTTTGTATTCTCCTTGGGACTACCGAAATGAAGGGGCTTCAGCTTCTGAGTGGAAGGGAGCCACTGTTAGATCAAGTACAGAGGTGCTGTTTCAGCCTCAGAATTCGACTAAAGTATGCAAGTTCAAGCTATCATCAATTATTTCCATGTCTCTGAGTGCCTGAAGATGTTGTATATCATTGTGAGATGCAGGAGGTAACAGCTATCCTGTTACATTTTGAATACCCATATTTGTTTCTATAAGGTTCATATTTGAGAATTATATAATGCATGTTGCATGTATTTCAGTGGAAAATTGCTCCAGATTACTTTATTTGAGATGACATCAGTTCTTTATGTACTAGTTTTTTTGGTTTTTTCCTACTTGATCTTTATTCCTCCATTGTGGTGATTTTGTTTTGGAGTTTACATTTCATCTCCTTAATTATTTGAAATGTTTCAACTCAGAAAATGATAAATAAATAAAAGAAAAGAAATGTTTTAACCAGAGTTTCACAAGCATTAGTACAGTTTTGTTTTGGAGTTTGGTAACCAGAGTTTCACACTCAGAAAAGAAATGTCTTAACCTCTCTTAACGTTTCTAGGTTAAAATTTTGAGTTTTGGGCGTTGAAACTTGTGTCAGGGATGGAATCAAATTTTTGGCTTTGGCTAGAAAAACAGCTCGTGCAGATTTGGTAACCGCTCGAGCGGAATCATTCGGGGATTTTGGGAATTCTGGGCAGAAAAACCGCTCGTGCGGATCTAAAAACCGCTCAAGCGGACTTGGTTGAAATTTTAAGTTTTTCTCTGGCTCAAACTGCTCGTGAGAGGAGTGTGAATCCGCTTGTGCGGATTTAGATTTCCGCTCGTGTGGAATTTGAACCGATCGTGCAATTTTTGACATGTTTGTCTCAAATTTTGAGCTCTATGCCTCAAATTTGATGCCAAAAACATGTTTTATACACTTTTTCATATCTCTTCCTCTCTATATTCGTCTTTTCTCCTCCATCTCTCTACAAACCCATCCAAACTCAAACTTCTCTCTAAGATTTAGCAAAAACTATCAAGATTTTGATAGGGGTAGGGAAGGGAAATGAAAATTCTCAAGATATTCATCCATTTTAGGAAAATACATTCAAAATGGCTGAAATTTTGTGGCAATGAAATAGCCTGATGATTCAGCCTCAAAGAGAGATATTCATCCATTTTGGGAAAATACATTCAAAATGGCTGAAATTTTGTGGCAATGAAATAGCCTGATGATTCAGCCTCAAAGAGAGAGTAGTCAGGTGGTTTGTTTTACTTTCGGCGTTTTGATTATCGTGTTGTGTCGTTGAGATTTTAATTTCCGCTCTTACTTAACCTCTCTTAACGTTTCTAGGTTAAAATTTTGAGTTTTGGGCATTGAAACTTGTGTCGGGGATGGAATCAAATTTTTGGCTTTGGCTAGAAAAACAGCTCGTGCAGATTTGGTAACCGCTCGAGTGAAATCACTCGGGGATTTTGGGAATTCTGGACAGAAAAACCGCTCGTGCGGATCTAAAAACTGCTCAAGCGGACTTGGTTGAAATTTTAAGTTTTTCTCTGGCTCAAACCGCTTGTGAGAGGAGTGTGAATCCGCTTGTGCGGATTTAGATTTCCGCTCGTGTGGAATTTGAACCGATCGTGCAATTTTTGACATGTTTGTCTCAAATTTTGAGCTCTATGCCTCAAATTTGATGCCAAAAACATGTTTTATACACTTTTTCATATCTCTTCCTCTCTATATTCGTCTTTTCTCCTCCATCTCTCTACAAACCCATCCAAACTCAAACTTCTCTCTAAGATTTAGCAAAAACTATCAAGATTTTGATAGGGCTTTTTACACCAAATCCAAGACAGCTACGTTTTCACCGATCGAATCAAGATTTCATCAACGTTGGATTTTAGGGTTCTTCTCTCCTTCCTCTCCCAAGCTTGAGGTGGGGACATTCTTAGAGTTATATATATTTTTTTGCAAGTCTATGCTTGTTTGGAACCTTTCTCTCATATTTGAATTGTTAGAATATGGAAAATATGAAATAGGTGTCTATGTGTTATTTTTTATGTTAAGTAAGGGTAGTATGGTCATATGGTATCTTGTATCTCACATATATATTTGCTAATGGTTTAGGTTTAGATTGTAAGCCTAAAACATACGTTGAATAAGATATTCTCTTCTTCTCCTTATTTCTTCTCTTCTCTCTAACCCTACCCTACTCTACATCTTTCATATTTTTGCACTTCAACTTGGTATCAGAGCTTCGATTCGACCTTGCTAGGAGTTCATCAGATTCTTGAGATTTTTCTGAGGTGAAAACGTGCTGACATCATCTTTTGTACGATGATGTCAGCATGATGTCAAAATTTGAACGAACAAGGTTGGCCCTTTATACTCGCCTTCTTCTCTTAATGTTCATGGTGATTTTTTGTTGATTTTTTTGGAATCATCTGATGTGAGTTTCCTATTTTTGAATCTTTTTCGTATTTTTGATGCTCATACTTCAATCCGTCCCTAATCTCCTTACTCATAGTTGTTTTTTGATATTGGTCGGTATCGTCGTTTAGTTGGAAAGTTGATTTTCCTTACTGTCACTCGTCCGGATAATACTTATGCTGTGAGTGTTAGCCAATTTATGCATGCTCCTCGTCACCCATATTTTGATATCGTGTGTCGTATTTGCGTTATCTCAAACGTGTTCCTGGTCAAGATATACTTTATCGCCCTTCTTCTTCTTTGTCTGTCATTGGCTTTAGTGATGCTGGTTGGGCTGGCAGTTGGAACGACCGTCATTCTACATCTAGGTATTGCACCTTTGTTGAGGTTAATCTTGTTACCTGGTGTAGCAAGAAACAACCAGCTGTTGCTCGTTCGAGTGCTGAGCTGAGTATCGTGTCATGGCTCATATTGCGTCCAAAATGTTATGGGTTTGTTCGCTTCTGCAATATTTTGGTATTCGGGTTCCCACTCCTATGAGCATGTACTGTGATAATCAAGCCGCTATTTTCATTGCTAATAATCCTGTGTTTCATGAGCGTACAAAGCATATTGAGGTTGATTGTTATTTTATCCGGGATTTGTTGTTGCGAAAGCAACTTGAGACACCATATGTTCGCTTCGATGATCAACTGGGTGATATACTCATGAAGCCCCTTGCTCGTTCTTCATTTCAGCGTCTCTCTTCTAAGCTAGGCATGTTTGATCTCTATGCTCCAACTTGAGAGGGAGTGTTAGAATATGAAATATGAAATAGGTGTTTATGTGTTATTTTTTATGTTAAGGGTAGTATGGTCATATGGTATCTTGTATCACACATATATATTTGCTGATGGTTTAGGTTTAGATTGTAAGCCTAAAATATGTGTTGAATAAGATATTCTCTTCTCCTTATTTCTTGTTTTCTCTCTAACCCTACTCTACTCTACATCTTTCATATTTTTGCACTTCAACTTGAGCTATGATTTTGGGTTCTTGAGCTCTAGATGATTTTAAAAGTAGATTGTCTCTATATTTCCCCCAAACTTTGAGAGTATAAGTTATGTTGTCAAGTGTGACTGGAAAAATCCTTTCAGAAATGGAAAAAAATCTAGTTTTGGTGGAAACCCTAGAAAATTTGGGAATTTTGGGAAAAATATTGAGTTATTATGAAATTCATTCTTGATAAATTATTATGGTGAATAATTGATGGAGGGAATTCTATAATTGTATCGAATGAGGGATTCCATAGAAAAATGAGAAATGTTTGATTTTGAAGCTAGATGAATAGCTTATTGTTGGTTTGTCTTGAAAAGACCAAGTTTGAAAATGATGATTAACATGTGGAGAATGCATGCAATGTGATATTGTTATTTATCCATTGGATGATATATTGTGAAATTACATTGAGAAGATATGTGAAAATTTTGATCACAATGGATGATTGTGTGGTAATTGAAAATGGAACTATTATAGAGCATTGTTACATGTTGCATTGCCATTCCACTTCATCTTCGTTATCATTGGTTTCAAATTTGCATTTGAAAATTATTGCTTTGAGAAAGGAATTGTTTTGTGAAACAAGATCATCTTGAATTGTTTTGGAGTAAATATGTTGGCAAGTCCGGATAAGGGGTGTAGTTTGGTATTGGTCAAATTGGCTTGAATGTCCATGGTGAAAAACTGAAAACACGCGCGGATGAGGTATCACGTGCCTTCTGGTTAGAGATTGGTAAAGTGGCGATTGGTAGTGCTTGATATGCCTACTTGCAGATACCAACGTAGGGATTACCTGAGTCGTATTTACCACCTCTTGAATTATATTGAAGTGATTGAATTATTGTGTTTTCAAATTTGCATCATGCACAAGATTTTCAAAAGATAAAGAAATATATTTTGAGCATGGTATGACATATGCATTCATCTCAGAAGACTACGTAAAATGTATATACTTTGTTAAGATCTCCCTACTAGGTTTTGTGCTCACCCTAGTGGATTTTGTGCAGAAAAAGATGTGGTGATTCTACCAAGTTAAAGGCGTGGAGTGTATTTGAGGGCACATGGCTCTTTTCTTTTGTTATTATTTTGACAAGCCGAGAGTTTTACATGTATGGGTTTCGATAACCATTTTGTGTAACCAGGTATAAGTCTTGGAACTTGTAGCCCATGAGGGCATTAAATTGTATTTGACTTGATGTGTTACATGCTATAGATTCATATTCTAGGAAATGTTGAATGTATAATTGTATGTGAAATATTGTTGTTAATCTCTTAATGAATACAAATATTAGAGATTTGATGATGATATTAATGATGAGGCATTATATCTCGTATACATTTATGAAACGGAGGTTATTAAGTTGGAAACAAGATCATGCTAGAATATTTTTGAGTTTTCTTATGTTAATTATTTAGGGACGTTAGAGAGAGAGAGAGAGAGAGTTAGAGAGAGAGGGGTAACTTCTTTCTAGTGAATATGCATGTTTGTGTAATGAGTGTCATTGAAGAATAGAAGCTATTATTGTCCATTGGAATCATGATCCCGTAAATGCTAGACTATCATCCGTCTCTCTCCAATGTCTTATCTACTTTGTTTTTCTATCTCGCCTACTTTGCTTCCCTAGTCTTGTATTCTATGGTCCTCTTCTCTTTCCCATATCAGTTCTTTTCGTTTTCTGTCTTCTTTATCTTTATATCTTATCTTATCCCATCATTCTCTTCTTTCTCCTTTACCGGGTCTTTTTCTTTTATCTTCTTTATCTCTCTTTCCTTTTTTTTCCCCCTATATTGTTTCATGGTATATTGAAAAAATAAATTAGGATATGTATATATATATACATATATTTATATCAATGCCCATCAAGTGTTTGAAGAAATTCTCAAGTTGCTTTGGAAAAGTGGGACTGAATGTTAGGTTCATGTTGGAGGGGGGAACATTATATTTTTGCTTTTAGGATCATTGTTTCAGTTCAGGATTGAACATTTGAGCCATTTATAAGCACCCTTTCAATGCGTAAAGTGGAATTTTGGTGAGACGGGATGACCCTTTGGTTATGCTGGAGAGGGAAATGCATGTGCCCTAAACCTGTTCAGGTTCCACAGTTGGAGATGAAAATGTTGCAGTTGAGGACTGAAAGGTGTTGATGCAGTACTTGAACTTGGGAAAGGAAACCTTTTTGAGTAGATTCCAAAACCACCTCTTGAACAACCTAGGCTAAAGAAAAAGAACATTGATATATGTGAGCTTGGGATTTCTACAAAATTATTGGATTATTCTTAAGATTGTGAACAATCTTCCTCCCCAAATTGATGAAAGCACCCATAAGAAAAACTTAAATAAAAATGATAGTACTGCAGTGCTGCTATATAGTATTACTCTGATTAGATTAAAAAAGGAAGTGCGCTATGATGATCAGTGAAGGGGTCAAATTAAATTTGCATGTGGCGAACAGAACAGTGTAGGAGATTCCCATCTAGGGCACAAAATGAAATTGTTTTGCTATCTCATTGCTAATAGGAACCAACTTATCTGTCTGTCTATCTCTCCATAAAAAAAAAATAAGAATAATAAATAATATATGGGTGCAGCAGGAACATAGGTTCTTCAGCCCTTCTCATCCTGGTGCCCAGCCTGCTAGCCTAAAACCCAAATACAATGCCCTTGTGCATATAAAATAAAATTATTAAACATGTTGTAATATATGTAAAAGCAACAAATAAATTAATGGACGGCTGTCTGCAAATCAAATAACTTGGTAGTGTCACTCTCCAAATCCGTATCAACCATCAGTTTTTCAAGTTTCTTGTTGCTTATCCTCTGTTGGTAGACTCTCGTGTCCTCTAAACTGCATACATATAACAACAAACAAAAACACAAATAAATATATATATACACGTTATCAAATCTGTCATTATATTAATTATTATTTAGAAGTGGATATAAAAAATAAAAATAAAAATGGTAAAAGTGAGAGTGCACTGACCTGTGAGTCTGGTGAGCAGGTGGAGAGAGCATGTGGGCAAGCTTAAGGGCAGCAATGTTGGAGTTGATGACCTTGTTGAAGCACAGATATCGTCCGTAGGATGACACGTCTTCGAACACACAGATGTGGGCATCAACTAGAAACCTCAGATCTACGGTCACAAATACCCCATCCTCGTACATCTCAGCAGCTCCTTTCAAATAGGGGTTGTTGATGTTCATCAGAGCAGGAGGGCCTATCAACATCCCTCCGTTTACAGACACCATATTCACACCCCTGTCCATGGCTAGTCCCCATGCCGTCTTCTCTGCCAGTGTCTTTGACGCTCCATGCCACAGCTGTCCCAACCCAATTCCAACACAACGTCAAATTTAACATTTGAATGTTTTTTGCTAAAAAACCCCCCCTAAACATGCTTGCCTCAACTTCTTTATCTTAGCTGGAATTTTTATTGTTTGTACCAACTATAATAAACAAATAACAAGGTACAACTTCATGCTAGTCAGTTAGTTGGTTTTATTGCTTATATTCACCATAATTGTATATTGAGTTGGTTTTTGCCATTGCCCTATTAATGTCTTACAAAATGAGAACATTACATTTCACTCATGAGCGAGCAGAGAATGTATATCATATTTATTGCTTATATTCACTATAATTGTATATTGAGTTGGTTTTTGCCATTGCCCTGTTAATGTCTTACAAATTGAGAACATTACATTTCACTCATGAGCAAGCAGAGAAAGAATAGCAATGCTAGGTATCATGAAAAGTCTTTTATGAAAATAATCATGAAAGATTTGTAACCTTTGGATTATACTTAGCATAAAGTACCACACATTAATCAAAGGTAATCTAAGGGTCACAAATCTTTCATGAACATTTTCACGAAAAATTTTTCATGATTCCTAATATTTCTCGAGAAAGAATATATATCATATGTACCTTGTATTTCTTACAAAAATTGATGTCGCTCCAGTTTCTTTCATCAATGTCTGGGGCTGTGTTGCGGCCATCTCTCCAAATAATAGCAGTGGCAGAGGAGGTAAATACCACCTTCTCCATGGCGTCCGTCTGTGCACACGCTTCCAATACGTTGTGGGCGGCTCTTACCTCCACTTCTGCCAGAAATTCCTGCACCCACAACACAATCACGCTCTTTTAATTCATGTTTTAAGTACTGTATGTACTAACCACAAGCACCCCAAATGCATAATGCAATTTCTTAAAAAGTAAAAAAACAAAACAAGATGCTCTAGGTAAATACAATTTCATATTTTGCTATATGTTTTATTGAATTTCTGAGGTCTTTCAGACCATCTAGATTGGGGTGTCATAAGTCAACTAAATATTGGGTTTGGATTAGGGCTGAGCAAGGAATCCGTGAAATCCGTAATCCGATCCAGTCCAGTCCAATCCGATAGGTTTGGATTGGTTTTTTGAATCCGCGGTTCGGTTCCGGATTGAAGAATTAAAAATCCGTAGTCCACGGATTGGTTCCGGATTGAACCCCACGGTTCCGGATTGGAACCGATCCGGACCGTATACAAATAGTCTATATTTTTATTATACATCCTCCCCCATAGTATCTTCTCTTATTTTATATAAAATCTAAACTCAAACCTAAAACCGTATAATATCTTATTTTATTACTTTTGTTTGTATTTTCTTATGGTTGTTTAAATTCAAGAACAGTATGTCACTATTATAGAAAAACATGTTGCTATTATGGAACTGATATAGCGCTATGTTTATATTTTTATGAAATTAAAGTGTTATATATATATATATATTTGTTATTTAATTATGTGAATCCGTGGTCCTAAACCGGTTCAATCCGTATTTAAATGGATTGGTTCGGATTAGTTCCATGATTTAAATGGATTGGATTGGTTCCAATTTTTCAGGAATCGTAAATAACGGATTGGTTCTAGTTTTACCCCAATCCGATCCAATCCAAACCATGCTCAACCCTAGTTTGGATGCATAGTTTTGCAGCTAATAATGTTCAAGTAATGGGAGAGGAGCACGACTCACGTTGGAAATGACAGTAGAGATAAGGTTAAAGTGGACACATACGAAGTACAATACAACACAACTGTCAAGAGACAATAATTTGAGGACGGTGGAATTTGGAAAGTAGGTAGATGGCCACGTTACATTTAAAGATGGGTATTGTAACAAACTTCCAAAATGTATTATAAAATAATAATAAATAAGCAAACTTCCAAGATGAATGAATAAAGGTAAACAACTAAAAACTGCAGACTGATTTGCTACTGAACTTGTGATGAATTCTATGCTTAGAATCATATAATCTCGGTTTAAACGTATGGCAATCATAAAATCTAAATCTCACAAGTAGGGATATATTTAGTGGAAAATATATATACATTTACGCTATGGTTGAGGAATTTAAAAAAAAAAAAGAAAAAGAAAAAGTTGCGGTTGAGGAATTTTATAAAAAAAAAAAAAAAGTTACGTGAAATATGAATAAAACATTTCACATTTCATTAGTTTCACATATTTTTTTTTTCTTTTTTCAAATCCCCAATATTACTAGTGTTTCACTGTGGTGTGTGTATGTGTAAAGTATAGATAGAGGTATAGAGCAGAAGATGGATGATATTTATAGTTTTGTGTTGCATAAAAGATTGTTGATGAGTAGTAGGAATAGTGATTCAATTTGTAAAGAAAACATAGAGTAAGTATTGCAGTGGATAATAAATACAAATAAAATTGGGGGAGTAGTGAATTTAAAAGTAAGATGAGAGAGAGGGAGGGTAAGGGTAGAGATTTACATCGTAGGAAGGGTGGTCAGATGGGGGCTCAAAGCAGTAAAAGAGGCCGGAACAACCCTTCAAAGCGGTCAAGATGCTGTGGTAATCCAATGGGTCTGAATGGAAGACTCTCAACCTATTCTCCTTCTCATCACAGGATGAAGAAGAAGATGAAGATGAAGATGATAGTCCTTGATCTTCCTCATCCTCCTCATCCACACACTGGAAATGGGAATGGGAATGAGTAGAAGTTGTAGTAGTAGTGGTTGCATGGACGGTGTAGCCTATTTGAAGGAGGCGTTGGACGAGGTTGGATCCCAAAGGCCCTGATGCATCCATTACACATACAACCCTCTTCAAGTGGCTGCTGCTGCTGCTGCTGCACCACTCTTCCTCCTCTTTCATCAAATCTGCTGCTGCTGCTGCAGGTGCCATGAAAGAAGAAACACCTCACCTCACACAATCACGTACTAGAGAGAGAGAGAGAGAGAGAGAGAGAAGCTCAAAATACTACTTTTAAAGCTTCTTCTAAAGGTGAAAAAGTGGGCTTGAAAGCCGAGATGGGTTTTCTATATTTATTTATGGCAAACAGAGAGAGAGAGAGAGAGAGAGAGAGAAAATCATGGGAGCGTGTGGTTAGTAGATATAGATGGTTCGGTGGTGCTGCCAGTCAACCAAAGGAGTAATTGTTTTTGTAAAGAAGTTTGTTTTTGTTTTTTTGCTATGTGAATCTTTCATTTGGGGTATTATTTAATGAGTAATGTTGGGAATTATAAAAAAAATATTATAAAATATATTATGAAGGTTTTTTATTATTTAATTAGTGTGTGGTGTTTTATTGTATGTGTAATCTAAAGGTGGAAAATCTTTCATGATCATTTTCATGATATTTTTTTCAAGACTCCTAGCTGAAAAATTGATGTGACTTGTCATTAAATCTCAACCACACAATGCACCACTTTAGGAAACTTTAGGGAAAAAAAACTCTAGAGGATCCTTACTCGTAATCTAAAGGTGGAGAATCTTTTATGATCATTTTCATATATTTTTTTCATGACTCCTAGCATTACTCTTATTTAATACAGAAAATTTGTGATAAATCCAATTGAAGAAGGGTAGAAGGTATTAGGTTAAGTCAATATTTTTTATTTGTAAAAAGTTTATATTTTGTGAAATAGTTTGGTAAGAAGTCTTAGAAGATATTTTGTTTCTAATTTTACCTCTAGACTTTTTTTATCTGTTTGACTTTTCGTTAACTATCTGTTCAAATTTATATCTATTTGTTCAAAAAATTTGTCTATCTATTCAAATTTATATTTATCTGTTCAAATTGTTTGACTATATGTTTAATTTTTCCTCCTATCTGTTTAATTATTTTTCTAAATTCTATTTATCTATTCAAATTTATATCTACCTGTTCAATTTTTTTTCCCTAAATTCTATTATCTACTCAAATTTATATCTATCTGTTCAATTTCCCCCCCTAAATTCTATCTATCTATTCAATTTTTTTTCTATCTGTTGGAAATCTGTGTCAACATTTTTGTTTATCTGTTGCAATCATCATCATCTACATCAATTTTTTTTTTCCAGATTTGTCTCATAAATATACATACATACATACATACATGCACCAACACCTATATGTTGCAATCCAAACCAAACCCTATTTGTTTTAATTTTTTTTTTCTCTCTATTCAAATATTTTTTCTTTCTTATCATTATCTGTTCAACACAAAAATAAAAACAAAAACTTTATCTGTTTCATCATCATCAACAACAACAACAAATATGTTCGGATTTGAAATTCTGATACGATAAAAAAGCACTTGTTCAATATCTGATCTATTTACTCTTTCATTCAAATCTGAGCAAACAAAAAAAAAATCAATGACAAATAGATCTAAGTTAAAATAAAAATAAAATTATATCTGTTTATCATCAGCATCACCAACAACATCAAAAAATAAAAAAATAAAAAATAAAAACATTCATCGTTGTCATCATCAACAACAATAACTACAACTACAACTACAAAAAAACACAAAGACATATTTGATCACACAAATCTTATATCTAAGATCATCGGTGGCCACATAGATCTGAAAAAGATGAGAGAGAATGTGGAGAGAGAGAGAGAGAGAGAGATATGCATCTATTGTATTCCTCGCTTAAATCAGGTAGCAGTTTCCCATAGCTAATGTTTTATAACCAAATCAGATTCAAACACAAACACAATATAGATTTCAACTATAATCATCATCGACAAATACACTTTTACACGAAAACACACTAGTTTTTTTTATTCTTTTAGACGCTTGCAATGAAGAAAGCGAAGGTGCTTCGGCAAATTCGTCGGCAGTTCGGAAAGATCTGTCCCCGTTGAGACCAAGAGAGGGACAAAAGCGAAGTTATGGAAAAACAGAGGCAGAGTTGCTGCGATCTCAAATCTAGGAAAGGTTTTGAGATCGTTGCCTCAAGAGAGAGAAAACAAGAGGAGAAAAAAAGACGCTGACACTAACACACACCACGCGCCGCTGCCGCTATGGCACTATTGCATCAACGATCTATCCAATCGATCTGGAAAGAAGATGGAAAGAGAGAGAGAGAGAGTGCAGTGGTACCGAAGGGGTTTCGGGAGTGCTGATAGAGGATGAGAGAGAGAGAGAGAGAGAGGGGGATGGCTGTAGACGTCCCCGAACGCCACGGGAGGAAATCCCCCCCCCCGGCGGTTTTGTTCATTGGGCTCACTATAGTTCAGGACTCAATGTCACGGTCTTGTATCTAATCTCGCAGAGTGCAATTCAAGACCGATGAAATCATCAAAGAGTCCAAATCCGGTAAATCGTTTTTGAAAACAGATTTGTTTGAAAGAAATGCCAAACATGGACTGCTTTGCCAGATACAGAGTCGCCACCTAAATATTTTATTTTGAGAAAATTTAGGAAACCCTGACTCGTTGCCTAAGGCCACGTGTCCGTCATCACCAAAGTTGCCTCGGCTTGAGAACTTGGGTACGATTTGGGAAGGTCACTTCGTGAGCACCCCCGCTCGCCCGATCGAAAATCGGCCTCTACTAACCATGATATTGGGTTTTGAAAATACTATGCGTTCTTATTCCGGTTATTAGCCTAGATTTACTATGTGATGCGCACAACATACAAGTATAGACTGGATCGCCTGAATTGGAACAAAACATTTCATGTTTGTTTATTTGAAAATGGTTTGATGGTACTACCCGCAAGTAGGCTAAGACATGGATTTTCCACCCTCGGGTGGGCTTTAGAAAACATGATTTTGCCACTATCTAGTGGGCTTAAAACTCACAATTGATGAATTGTTCCAATTCGGATAACCCAACCTTCACCCACAGGCATTCAGGCAGGTATATCACATAAACAATTAGCCTCATTGTAAGCATGCTATCATGGAAATCACTCACACGCATGTAAGGATGCTAAAGCATAAAACTTACCGAATACTCCAAGCCAAAACAGAAGCTATGTTAGAAATCCATGCATGATCCTAACTATATAGAGATGTCTAATGCAACACATGCAAAATGCAACTAAGATAGGCTTGGCTATTCTAAAGATGGCATATGAAATGCTACAACTAACAAGTATTCAACTTGGAATTGAAATACAAATGCAGTTAGTATGGTGCGCCGAGCCCGGTGCATGTAAGACAGATGAATGATGCAAACATGCTATCATACTGTATGCTAATTGAAACATGCCCTAATCTAACCATCATAAGCTGGTAAATAAAAGGGAGAAAGACGCGGGGTTGGAAAACATACATCACACTCACGCACACTTATTACAACATTGCCCTCGCTTGGAGGGTCCGAAAGAATAATACAGTCCGAATAAATACAACAGTCCGAATAAATACAAAATCCTAATTAATTAACAAATTAATCTAGGAAAGCAGTAAATGACACGCAAATCCATGGACCGCCTCGGCTCTGTTCCGAATGATGGATGATGCATGCTCGAGTTGCCTTTGCGCGGAAATCCCTTGCAATGCCCCAATTAGCCTCTGTTTACAATTAAGCCCGAAATATTGCACGAAGCTCCAAAAGACTGCCGGTATCTGATTTGCTGCAACAGAGAGCAAGAAAGGGCATGGCAAAGTATTTTCACATATGTATGTATCCCTCAATCCTCGTGCCACCAATCACGCATCTCGATGCATGATGGCCGAGGAGTCAAATTGCACGACTCAATATGAAATGAATGCACATATAAACATAACAAGATCGAGACTCCATCATGGTTAATCCGGAGTGTCGGCGACCGGGAATTGAGACACGTTCCGTCACTCGGAGTACAAAACGTACCTCGTTTCCCGTGCTTGGGCTAACTCCTATCCCAAACACGATGCAAATGAGATGGCATACACAATGTGACTAACATACAATCTAGCATATGCAATGCTATGAAATGGCATACACAATGTACGATGCAACATGACATACACAATGCTCTAACACACAATCTAGCATATGCAATGCTATGAAATGGCATACACAATGCATAATAGACTTACACCAACATAAGTGGACCTCAGCCACACTCACATCAGTAGCCAATAAGATGAAAATGTAACCACCGAAATGCGTGCACACATGCACGTAAACTGATGACCGAACCTAAGGCAGAACGTGCAACTCTAACAAGGCATGGCAAGGCATGCAACATGCCATTCAAACATGTAAATTTCAGCACTGAAATACAATGCTAAATGGTCCCGAATCATGCAAACATGGTACCTGATGCATGGAATAAGCCCCGAAACTCAAAACTAGACACATGTATTGACTTGTAGCTATACTGTAACGACCCCAAAATCCGTATTAGAGATTACCTTTACGGCCTATTGTGTTAATGCATTTTGATTTATTGATATGTGTTCAAATTGAGGAATTATTTGTTGAGCCACGACTGTAAAATTGAAATTACCGACCTTTACGGGTTCAGAAATCAAAATTGAGTACTTGGGTATTTTAATGGGAATTTTTAGAACTATTGGGGAAAATTAATTGGAAATCTATTTTGTCTGACTCGTTAATGCATGTTTAGGTGGTTAACTTTATACTGCAAATTGAAGGCCCTAGAGGCTTCAGAAACCAGAACAGGGGACATATTTATGATCAGCACAATTTTTAGAGTCACCTGGGAACTGTAATTGAAATTTAATTTTTCGCGATTCGTAAGGGCGTGTTTGGCTATTCCTATTGTTGAAAGCTTAGGTGTTGGTTATATATATGGTTATGATATGTGAGTGGTGAACTTATCATTTGGAAGTCAAATAAAATATTTGGGGGAGAGAGAAGAGAACCGTGAGAGAGAGGGAAGGAAGAAGAGGAAAGCTCCTCTAATCAACACTCATGGGGTTTGAAGATGCTTGAAGGGGGTGAAGAAAGAAAAAGAAGATCATCCATGGGAAGCTTGGGAGGAATTGGAGAAAGCTAGGAGAAAGACAAGGATAGAACTAAGGTATGATCATCTATCTTGAATCCTTATGTTTGAGACATCAATTTCATGAAATCATGATAATAAGGGAAGCTTTGAACCCATTTGAGTTAGGGTTTTATGTATACATATTGAT